GTGGCAAAGTATGAAGGTAAAAGAGACGTCCAACTCACACGGAGTAAATTGCCGAGGCGCCCAATGGTGTGAGAGGAGCGAGCATTATTGGAGGAGGAGTGATCACTTCGTTCCAAGTATCTGCAAAAAGGACCGAACGAGATAGGGCAAAAGCCCGAGAAAACCAAACCAACATATTCAGCGATGAACTGAACAGATAAAGGAGAAGACGGGAATGCCCACGAGCAGCACGCACGCGTAGGGCAGGAAGGGAAGAAGAGAGGGAGGGAGGGAGGGGTACCGACCGGGACTCGTGGGTCTCGAGAAGGGAGGAGAGAGCATGGAGGAGGGCAGGGCTGGGATTATCAGGAGAAGCGGTGACCCTGTCCATGAGGCTCTGAGCCTTGGCCACCGCCTCTTCTTCCTCCTTCCTCGCTTCCTCCGCCGCAGCAGGCTGCCTCGTCGGTTCTTCCATGGCGGCGGTCCCTTCTTATCTCGATCGAGTTGCACCGGGGGAGTCCCAGTCAGTCAGAGCGAGCTACTGTGACGGAATTGGGGGGGAGGGCGTGGGGATCGTATTCCCACTCGGTTTAAATAGGGGGGACGAGGTTTTTGCAGAAGGAGCGAGCGAGAGAGAGAGAGAAAAACAAGGAGAAGAAGAAGAAGAAGAAGAAAGAATGGCGACGGAGAAGGTGGTGCTGGTGGTGGATCGGAATGTTCCCGATGGAACCGACCCGGATGAGCAAATCCCTTCTCTCCCCCTCTCTCTGTCTGTCTAATTCGAACCCTACCCACCTTCAGCGAAAAGTAATGGGCCCGGCCCGAACCAATTTCTTGGGCCCGGCCCAATGAACATGAATTCCCTTTTTTGGTCAAAATAAACATGAAATTCTCTTTTTTTTGGTCGTAAAAATGAACATGAAATTCAAGTGCTCGTTATTTCAACCGTTCTACCCTCGATGATAAGGTGAACTTCACCAGAATGCTGACGTTTAGATTCACATGCTATATTTTTTCGTTATTTTTCTTCTGAAATTTAAATGATATTCTAAATTTATAGAAGGAAAGTATAAAAGATTATTTTTTTTATCTATTACTATTGTTAAGGAAGACATCACATATTTGATGCCTCTCCCTCTTTCATCATTATTAGTTTTATGCTTATATATAATATGGCCCAATTCCAAAAAAAACAAAAAACATAAAATGGTCGAGTGATTCTAGCCTCAATTTTTGTTGTCTCATAAAAAATCACAAACTTTCAATCAAATTCCAAATCAAGCTCCCTCTTGACCCTCCATCCGAAGTCACTCCTGCTCGTGCGACGTGGCATTTCCACGTTGTTAATAAATTTACGTTAGCAAGCTTAATTAAGATCCCGGGCCAATAAAACGTGGATGTTGGGAGATCTTCATTAAAATATGATCAACTTGAAATCTTCATGTAAAACTATTTGGCAAATCGTGAAAATGGTTCGTATTAAGTTGGCAAATCGTCAAAAGATTTAGGATTAAATTGGCACAATTGAAAGGTTTATGACTAAATTGGACGAATTGAAATAATTAAAAGATTTAGGATTGAATTGGTCACCATACAAACGGTCTAGGATTTTTTGAACAATGATCCCAAGTTTGGCTGGTGTGATAATTTTGTTTCCACAACTCAAAAAATAGTCGCAATATTTTGTCTTACATTCATTACGCTGAGTTGATTTTGATCTATCAATGTCTTTTTCCTAGAGGAAAAGGGTTTGATGGGGAAATTTCAAATAATTATACTTGCAGACATGAAAAGTGGACTTTCATATGTAACAATATTGCTCATATTGTTTTGCAAATTTCTTCAATGAAATAGTCTATACTCAAATTGATTCCATGTTACAAGAAGGAAACTAAATCTATGGAAGGTGAATCCGTAATACATTAGTGCAATCAAATCATAATCTTGGTGTTGGAGGGCTCTAGTCCCTAAGGCTGCGAATGGTAACCATTCTGTTTCAGAAATCAATTTCTAGCCAGAAATTTTTTTTTAGAGTTTCTTAGCAAAAAAACACGTTTGATAACGACACAAAATTTCTGTTCTAGAAACAGAAATTTGTTTGATAATGGCACAAAATTTATTCTTCTCAGGTGGTCAGCGGGCGATGGATGGTGGCGGGAGGAGGGCAGGTGGCGATGGGAGACGGTGGCCGGCGGTGGGAGGCGAGCCGCGGTGGGAGGACGGTAGTCGACGGTGGGAGATGGTGGCCGATGGATGGCGGGCGGCGGCCAACGGTGGCCGGCGGTGGGAGGTGGGTGGCGGCCAAAAGAGGGCGACCGACGGTGGCCGGTGGACGGCAGCCCATAGCGGCTGGCAAGAGATCGTGGCCGGTGGACGGCGAGCGGTGGCCCACGGCGGCCGGCGGTGGGAAGCAGGTGGCGGTGGGAGGAGGGCGGCCGGTGGTGGGAGATGGTGGCCGGTGGACGGCGGCTGGCGGTGGGAGGTAGGCGGAGGTGGCGGGAGGAGAGAGGCCGGGGGTGGCGGCGGGAAACGGTGGCCGACCTACGGAGGCTGGCAGCCCACGGCGGCCGGTGGTGGGACATGGGCGGTAGCCAAAGGCAGGCGGCGGTGGCAGGAGGAGGGAGGGCGAGGGTGGGAGGCGGGTGGAGGTGGGAGACGGTGGTTGGTGGTGGGTGGCAGCCGTAGGCCGCCGGTAGGGGGAGGAGGGTAGGCGGTGGTAGGAGACGGTGGCCGGCAGCGGCGGCGGGTAGCAGCGATCGGCGGGTGGCGGCGGCTAGTGATGGGCGGCGGGTGAGCGACCGACTAGTAGTGAGGGAAAGTGATGAGAAGAACAAAAAAATTTTGTTTCTCATTTCTGTTCCAGAAATAGAGAAGCAAAAAATTTTAACTTCTGATTTCTGTTCCAAACCTATTTCTGGAATAAAAATTTGTTCCAGAAATAGAAATTGGAATTTCGTTACCAATTAGATTTATGTTCCAAACCTATTTCTGGAGCAGAAATAAAGAAACAGAATAGTTATCATTCGCAGCCTAAGTAATCTTAACCACTAGGGTAAGGCCACCCTTCTCACTTGAGAAGGGGAAGGTGGGGAATCCCCACCTTCGCAGGGGGTTTAATCTAGTCTCACCCTCCCTTCCCGTTGATTTTGTTTGAATTATTTTTCGTTCTTTTCTTATTTTTTTTTCTCTCCCGATCTAAATCTGAGAATTCTTTTCTCCCAGTCTAACTCTTAGATCTAGGAGTTTAATAATGTTTTTGAGATTCGATACCCTCATGCGTTATTTGTGTACAAGTCATCCGTCTCCAGTTTCAATGATGATTGTAGGAGCTTTGGTGTCTCGCTGAACCATGGAGATTTGCTCTTACAAATGTTATGTTTATGTTTTTTCAACCCGTATTGGATGTTTTCGTACAGTAATAGTGTAGAGTAAGCCGGACCTAATGCTAATAGGTAACGTCGTAGTTTTCGGCATGTGCTCATCACTAATGATAATACGAGATTTAGTAATCGGCCACCGATTATTTTGCTTGACAGATCCATTTTTATAAAATGAGAATGTGCTTAAACCTGCCGGTGTTATGTTGATTCTCCTTGTTTTTTGGATTTGGCTTGTTTTGTTATATTGTGGGCTTGCTTCAATTTTCTTTGTCATGAAAGGCATTGTACTTTTTATGTATCGTTTTGAGTAATGAATACAATTTGCTTTTGATAAAAAAAAAATATTGAGCCTTTCACCAAATTAAGCATGTCTCGATTCTCGAATAAATGGACATTTTTTTTAATTCATTGATTTGTGATAATTTTAATGGGAGATGGTAAATTTTTAATGTTATCGTAATCTTTAATAAGCGATGGTAATTTCTCTGATGTGTTGAAAAATAAAATTATCAGGTTCTTAAATTTCTAGATATGTTGTGAACCGTCAGGTTTGCTTGATTTATTTTTGGGTCATAAGTTTGCTTAATTGAGTAGTGAGAGTGCTAAATAAGCAAAAAAAGCCTCGGATCACTTGAATGCACCTTTCAAAGAGGATGGCATAACTTTAATAACAGTTGTAAAAATTAAAAATTCGAACGCCCCTTTTTGTCTAATCACATTGATCCGGTGTATGTACATACATGGATTCCTTGAATCTGCCAAAGATTCAAGATTCTCTCTATTTTCTTGCAAATCGACATCAAGATTTTCTCCCATTTCTTGATGTTCAACACCCGTTGCATTCTCTTTTAACACCTGTTGCATTCTCTACAGAATGGACCATGACCACCATATAATTGATATCCACATAGGTGATGGCGGCGAGCCAAGGACTGTCGATAGAGTAACTAACGGCAGGCCAACGTCCAGAGCAAGGTGCCGGCGCCAAAACATGGTGCGCGAACCTCCCTTCAAGAAAAGTCTGCATTACATGAAATGGAACAAATCATTACTTTTATATAATACATAAGTAAATTGATTAGTTGGCATTACATGAAGAAATTGAATAAATTATACCACACGTGTGAAATAGAGTCTATTTTTCCTTAAAACAGAATTATTTTTTTTTATTTTACAAAATAGTCTTGAGATTACTTGGTTCAATCCATTAATCCCACCTCAAATATCAAGTGATAAACTTTCCAATACTGCTAAAATAATAGCGATTAGATATTTGACATAAAAAATATGATAACTTTCCATCACATCATATGCAATCCGTTCGGCCCAACTTAGGAAATTTGCAATCCTAACATATTTTTGAAAATCGAATTGCATTTTCAAAAGTTCGGATCACAAGCTTTCATTGATATAAAAATCGAGTTAACCAAAAATCGGATGAAACATTATAATCGGTTGAAATTTGTGAATGGGTCGGCCTACACAATATTTTCTCATCGTTTGATTGATACCTGAGAAGTTGAGGAGGTGGCAGGTGAGGAAGAAATAGGAATCCCCAGATGGAAAAGGGGTCAAAGCGTCAGATAAGGCGAGATACCAGCAAGCATCTCTCCTCTCCCCAACTTTAAACAACACAAAAGTGCCAAATATAGTCAGACAGAGAGGCGCGGAACAACATAAAAGAAAATGTTCTGGCTTCTTCATATGGTGTGACGGCTGTGGCACAGGGAGAGAAGAAGCCTCCCACCATCATTCCCCTGCCACCGCCATCAACGTAAGTGGAGACTTGTATCCGTGTATTCATTTTGCATTTTTGTTGCCCCTGCAATGAATCCATCATGTCTTGCATTGTTGCAGGCGCAGAATGGCTTTCACGATGAAGCAGATGTCCTTGATTGTGGCGACTATGGGCATTTTGTCTTTCTTATTTGGTGTCATTGCGGAGAACAAGAAGGTGCCTCCTCCTCCTCCTTGATGCCTGCAAACAAACTCTTACCCTTTACTTTTATCTGCTGTTGTTCCTAGTCGAAACAAAGTTCTTCTGCAGGTTTTGCTATGATTTCCCTTGTTCCATCTTCGACTTTGACGCACCATTCCTTTATTTTTATTGCATTGAACTACTGATAATGTGGAATTCATGTCTCATGATTGATTCAACATTTCTTCTCCCACCCCTATGTCACGAAAAATATAATATTTACCTTTTAAGGTTGAGGGCTGGCCATCTCACGAACCCAGCCTTAATGGCTAGGCAACGGTTCAACCTTATCAACGCCCTCCCGCTTTCCTATCATCTCAACCTACTGCATCGAGCAATGAAAAAATCATTGAAAAAATCCAATGGTTGACCTTCCCATGTATGAATTACATCACATCCATTTCCTCCCCGCATGCCCATGAGTCCGCACTCCTCTTTTTTCTTTATTTTTCAAATTACTTCTGAGGTTCTTACATGTGCTTTTTCCTCATGAACTGAACAGCCACCATCTGGGACCCCTATTGCCGGAAAAGATGTAGTCATATGCAAGTATCCATCTGATCCAACTGTCCTCTTTGGATCCCTGTCTGTTGCATTTCTCGTCGCATCTTCGGTGGCAGGCTACATTTCTCTGTTTTATCCTTACAAGGGGAAGTCTATCCCACAATCTGCTCTCTTCCACAGTACTACATTCATCGTATTTTTCAACATTGCTTTGTAAGTGCACCGTCCTACCCTTTTGTCTGATGCTTTTCATTGTGGGAGTTTATAAGACACGAAACAATTCATTATTATGTAGACATCTTACAACTTCTAAATCTCACATAAACATTAAGGCCTCAGATAAAATGTCGGATTCTGATGCCATGTCCTATATCTTGGTGCATTGCTTTCAGAAGCAATGGACCCAGCAAAATATGTTATCTAAAGCAATTTCATTGGTATCTAACTTGATATTTATAAGAGAATAGAGTAACTGAGAGAGTAACCTCGAGTACCATCTGTCCATCTTTTATTGATTTCAAAGCTGCATAGCATTCTGATTCTGCATGATCTTTTGGGTGACTGATCATCTATAACTGCAATTCCATCGAGGGAGGGCCAAGTGGATGTTCCCATTCTTTAACTGTCAGGATCTGGGTCGTAATAATTGTTTGTTGAGCATTTCTAGATTAACTGAACGCTGAAGCTTTAAATTTCTTATTAACAGATGGCCTTAGCATCACGTAGACACAGGAGACTACATGTCTCTATGTTCGTGGTTAAATATTCCATATTTATACACATCTAATGTTCTTAGGACTCGAGCTTTCACGGGCAATCCTTAAATCTAGGAATTAGTGTGCCGTGCATTCAAATTATTTGCTCAACATAATGTCGTTCATTCAATACTTAATAGCCTTGAGCAAACATCAACTAATTTTCTTTTCTAGCCTTGTCATGGACAGCGCTCCTAAAATTTGGCAATTACTAGTGAGAAGAGGATAGAAAACTTTCATATTGCTACTAGCTTTTACTGGCCGTCCATATCTTTAAACACAGAAATTTGTGTTCTGGTCTATGCATAGCACATGGATTGTCAATGAGTTATGTTCTTTCTTGAGAATCATGTAGTAACAGTAGATAGGATGAGTTGAGATGGGTTAGGTTTCACTAAAAAGTAATAATCACAATGACAAAAGAACATTCAGATGGGTTAGGTAGTTGAGTGCATTGTATTAGCTGATGGTACGGAGCATCTCTGCTAATCAAGTTTCCCTGTGTTTCCTGGATATGACCGCGTAACTTCACAAAAGGTTTTGGACTGGACTAGCAGCAACATTTCTTCTATGGCCTACCATCACTGAGCATCTCCACCTGACGCGCAATGTTCACCACGATCTCAGCACCGAGTGTCCAACTGCAAAGACGGGTCTCCTTGGTGGCGGTGCTTTTTTCTCCCTCGATTCATCCCTGTTCTGGTTGGTCGCCCTTATGTTGGCCAACAATGCCCGTGAGGACTACTTTGGTGAAGCAGATAGCAAGGACGAGGGTAACGCTGATGACCTCCTCGTGATGGACACAAAGGGGGAGTCATTGTTTCCCGTCGTATGAATGTTATTCGCCTCTTCTATTATGGAAAACTCAGAAAAGCGCCATAAGTATATGATTCGTCTCTAGTAGTTTGTGCTTTGACCGGATCCCATTCTTTCTATTCTCGGTGGACTATGAAGCAGAACATGCAAATTGAGAATAAATGTCACCGATCAATGTAACATCTCTGTATAAAGTAAAGTTGATCAGGATTCCAAGCATATTCATTTCAGCATGCAACCAAAGAGCCATGCCCTCATTCCTATAGGACCTTTTGCCGTGTTTTTCATAGAAACTGATCCTAAGAATTAACGGAGTTTTTTCTTCTCGTCGCTTAGTAACAATGCTTCACATCTCGGAAGCTCCCTTGCAGAAAAGGCGAGCCTCGGTTCCCTGGGACGAGGCCAAGAAATCGTACAGTTTTCGAAAACTACACTAAGCACCCGCAAGTCGACCCAACCCAGTAACTTTTGAAGTTTCTTCTTTGGGCAATTCTATCGCTTGACGTAACAAAATGAATACCAAACAGAGGCCTCCGGCGAAGCCATAGATATGGACCACCAGCTCTTTGTCCTAAGCAAAAGAAACAGGGAGAACATGAAGAAACGCCCTCGGTCAGAAAAGTACCCTTAGGCTGCATTTGATAGACAGGATAAAATTCAGGATATAATAACATTTATTCTATCCTGTGCTATATTTGATTCCTGCTTAAGATGGGATAAAGCCGAATATAAGGGGGATATAGCCCGGATAAAATTATTCCAGAGGGGAGGTGGGATAAAAGTGGATATGATTTCTCATATTTATGATATAAAAGATATTTTTCTTGAAAAGAACTTTTTAAATAATAAAAATAAATTAATATTTAAATATAAAATAATATTTGAGTTATAATATTAAAAAGATAATTTAGAATAACAAAAAAAAATAATTTTCGTTTTTATATATTCCTATATTATTTATATAATTGAATTTCTTTCTACTCTATAACATATATTTATTATCTATATTATTACATATTTTAGGTATAATAGTATAGTTTATAAGTTGATAAAAATTTTATAAAGGATTGATGGAAGGGAATAAAAAAAATTTAAAAAAAGAGATGGAAAAATTTAAAAAAAATTGAGTAAATAAGAATGAGGTAGAAGAACCCATATTTTAATAAACAAATTTTAATTTGAAAAGAATCTTTATAATTCTCAAAAAATGAGGGGCAATGAAATTTCTAAAAAAACCTACCCTCGCTTGTCTCCTACTCCTATGTATCTGATTCAAGTTGAAGCTTTACGACTTCATAGTTTTTTAGTTCACGTCAAAGTTCCATGAAAGTGGCAAGAGAGTCTAAGGCTGCGCATGACAACTTGCCAAACAGTGTTTAATTCTGTTCTTTTGTTCCCAGAATCAGTTTGGGAACAGAAATGCGTTTGTTTAATTTTTTGATTCTGGGCACAATTTTGTCAAAAATTGTTCCCAGAATCAGTTTTCAAGAATAAAAAAAAAGTAGCTTCTTGATTCTGGGAACAATTTTGAGAATCAATTTTTTTTTTCTTCTTCCTTTTCTTGGTTTTTAATGTAGCTTCTAATGTCCGGCCCGAGGACCGCCCTCGCCGGATTTGACGAGAATAAAATATTTTAATAAAAAATATTATTAAAATAAAAAATATTTTACCGGCCATGGCCGGCGACCAGGCCATGGCAAAAAAAAAGAAAAAAATATATTTTTAATAAAAATATTTTAATAAAAAATATTATTAATAAAAAAAATATTTTACCTGCCATGGCCGGTGACCAGGCCATGGTAAAAAAAGAAAAAGTATATATTTTTAATAAAAATATTATTAATAAAAAAAAATATTTTACCGGCCATGGCCAGCGACCAGGCCATGGTAAAAAAAATAAAAATGTATATTTTTAATAAAAATATTTTAATAAAAAATATTATTAATAAAAAAAATATTTTACAGGCTATGACCGGCGATCAGGCCATGGCAAAAAAAAAGAAAAAAAATATATTTTTAATAAAAAAAATATTTTACCAGCCATGGCTAGCGACCAGGCCATGGCAAAAAAAAATAAAAATATATATTTTTATAAAAATATTTTAATAAAAAATATTATTAATAAAAAGAAATTTTGTTGCATTACCAAACGTATTTCTGTTCTTTTTCTATTCCAGGGATGGAATTTTGGGCCGTTAACAAACGCCTTAAAATGCTCAGAATTAATTCCGGGCACAGAATAAAAAAGAATCATTTCTGAGCAGAATCTATTCCCGGGCACAGAATCGTTGTCATGCGCAGCCTAAGCTTCTCCTCATTTGTAGCTCTCCGGTTAATGTCTAAACTCCACAAAAGTAGAAACAGAGTCAAAACTCCTCTGTAATTTTGTGGTTCATGTTGAAGTTTCACAAAAGTAGCAAGAGAGTCCAAACACTATACTTTTCGTAATCACAAAAGTGAATGATCATATTTTTATTCTCTTACTAGATTTGGTAGTGAATTATGAGAGATTTTTATAAGATTCGTTTGTGCATTTTCAAATTCATTTATATTGATGTTGTAAATAACAAACAATGGACGTGATAAAATATGAAAATATTCAATTTTATTACAGCGATTCATCAAACGGTGGATAGAATATGGCAAAATCCTTAAATTTCATATGTTATCATTCTATGTAATAATTGGTGCATACGGGTAACGTAACCCTCGCATTAAACTAAACTTAAATTGGATCCCTTTCTTTCTTTAATCTGTTTTTTTAATAAAAAGAATATAAATATTTAATTTTTCTACGCAAAACGTGCTTGATAATGCTGAGGACACTGCAATATCTCTGTTGTATCCTCAAAAGCATTATCTTATAGTCTTCTGACATCACGCTTGTTGCTTCATCTCGGTCTTTTCACGTCCGGCGCGTCGAAAGAAGTGAGGATGTACTTCCTGGGACTCACGGGCAACTGGACTGCTAATGTCTCGTCCTCGCTTGACATATTTGTGGTTAATAGACCTGACCGTGACTGACTGTTACTGTGAACGGGTGAGCTCCATCGATGTCGGACTGAAAACGGGATTGGGATAGACCAGACCAGACCAGACCAGACCACACACAGAAGAGAAATTGATGGAGGGAAGGATTGAGGGCTGTATTTAGAAAGGCTCTGCTATTGCTGCTTCTCGGCGCTAATATGGTCAGAGCCCCCTCTTTCGCTTGTCCTCCAATGGCGATACTGCTCAGTGCCAGATCACGGCACGGATGTTCAACCCATGCTACTTTTGCCGCAAAGGGTTTCAGCTTCAGGTGTCAAATTGAGTTTCCATCTCTACTTCTGGCTCTCTTTCTTTATTCGATTGCCGTACATCTTCTTGCTTTTTTGGTTCTGGAATTATGGTCAGGGGAGGGTTTGGTGTAATCAGTATGCAAAGGGTGGGAATGTCAGAATCGGCCGCGAAGACAGCCAATTTATCTGCTTCTAGGAAGCAAGTCCTTCAGTTGCCGAATTACGAGCAATATCCCATCAGTCAATTCCTGAGTCATCCATCCGGCGTTCAAGCAATACTGAACGCCAGAGCTCTTCAGAGTTTTCAGTTCCTCGATGCTAACACCTACAGGTTCTTCACTTCCTCCCCTCTTTCTAATTTATGATTGAGCGGTTTCTCTGGACCCCAGGACTACTTTGTGTTGTGCCTCTCTGTCACCATACAATCTCTTACGTATGTGTACTTGCGAAGGTGTACTCTTCCTAAAATCCAACTTCTGAACTTCGAAGCAACTCCAGTAATGGACTTGAGAATGACTTTGACCGATACAGATTGTATAGTCGAGATGCTCTCTTGCAAGGTGAGATTCTGATGTCTAGAGATTGCGTTTAAGGACCTAGAGTTGTGGATGTTATGACAATGAACTGTTTAACTTACCGTACCCAAGGTTGATAGGAACATTCAGAAATAGTGTAATTTGTAATGGAAATTTGTCTTATGTTGGGATGATTTCATTGAATGTTCAATTGCCCACACATACTCTCTGGCTTGCAGAAATACATATCTCTAAACTGACTTTCCTGGTTAACAAAAGGGTGCTTGTAAATAACATACTCTGATATAGATGCATTCACTGTACATCTAGAGAAATTCTCCTTATGGATGACGCATTCAAGGGCTGATAATGCTCTCTTTCTGAGATTAGCATCTTAGCAAATGTATCTTGAAAATAATATGCAGTTCGAGGGTTCAAAGGTCGTGGAACGCCAAAACAACCATTTTTCAGGTACACATGGACTAAATTACTTTGCAAATGTTCTAATTAGTGAAGCGGTTCAGTCTGGACTGCTATAAGAACCTTGGGTTTCTTCAAATGGAAGTAAATGCTGAATTCTCATTTGAGTAGTATTTTCCTAATAATAATGGACTTTATAAATGTATATCTCGCATAACCCCATATATCAATAGTGAGACCTGTATTTGATGTATGAACTTATCATGATAAGACATGGGGCTGATAACATACATTGACACCGGAGCTTGACAGTAATTTTCTGAGAAGATTTCAGCTGCATGTCAATGCTTTCTCTGCGCTTTGAGCTACTTGTGGGATAAAAGCATTCTATTGGAATGATGATGACATTTCTTGTTCTCTCTTCTCACAGCTTTCATGACAAATCACATGAGATGGGATACAAATGATTCTGGGAATACAGTGGAGGTTGACGTGAAGCTGGGTGTTACTCTCGAGGTCTTTAGCACTCATCAATGTCATCTTAACGATTTAAACATTTGTCTTTATGATATTTGCAATTGACACAATTTCAATTATAGCAACTTTAACTTTGAGATAGCACACTTGGCATCACTGATGTTCTCAAAATTACTGCCTATGTATCTTCTCGGAGAGATGTTTAATTTAACTCACAATAGTTGGCATGGACATATCGTTAATGGAGGTGCTGTTTCTCGGAGCTTGTAAAATATCTTAGTTTTTGACAGATGCCTCTTACTTGATTTAATGAACTCTCCATGATGTAGTTGCAGTGAAAGAATATTGAAGAGGATGTTATGTTAAAATGTCTCTTAGGTGTTAGTACGCAATTAATTACTTTATCATTATGATCTGGACATCAATATTGCTTGGGGTGGAAGAGTAAAAAGTTAGGAAATGTTTACTTTTGCCTTCTTCAATGTCAACGCTGGAATGAAAAGTATGATAGTCTTAGGTGCTTCAGATTAAGGCCTCTCTAAGTTGCGGCCATGGCTGTCATATTACTCAATGCCAAACTTGGTCTGGCATAGAGGTGATACAGTTGAATCCCAATTCGTAGGAACCCATGGCCAATATCATCAGTTTTTCTGCAAGTTCTCCGGCTGTTGGAGCTTTACAATTGCAAGACATTTTCGTAGGTGTATTCAAGTCTACAGACATATTTATGTGAACTGATTTCCTGTTTCCCTACTCAATTGTTGCTTTTCTTTCATCATTGTTTTTTCACGTCTCAAGAAATTACCGAGTACTCATAGTAAATAAATTATGTGCAGATTTTCACTCGACCATTTGCTTTGCTGCCATTGTCAGCTGTTGAAGTCCCTGGAAATGCGTAAGTAAATAATTTACGAGAAATTTATTTGTTGATTAAGCTCTGTGATCCATCGCACTTAAGTAGTATCAGACAGACAATAAGCCTTCTCTTAGCAATTGGCATCGTCTACCCTCTTCCCTCACCTATCACTTTTTTCTTATGTTTAGTGAGGAAAGTTAGAGAATGAGGCGACCTTTAGTTGGATAGAATGTGTTAATCCATACCTGTCTTTGAAACTATTGAAATTATGTGGTTAATATATACGAATGAATGAGACTTGGGGCATATGCTTCATGCATGGACTAGCTCTAGAATTTTTAAAAGGATGTTTAATAGCAAGTTAGGAGAATAATGATAAGATTGTAATTAGAACTAGTACTTGGAACAGGTATTTACTATGAGCAGATGGTTGCATGAAAAAAGATGGTCAAAGCAATTGCATTCTTCTTGGTAGTGTTCTGAGGTAGAGAATGACAAAACAACTTTGGCTTCGCACGTAAGAGTGTAACCTGTATGGCAGCAAAAGCACCATTTAGATTTATCTTCTCTACAGTTGAGACATTGTTCACATCGAGTGGGATAACGCGACATGCATAGTCTCAGGCATGACTCTTCAATTCTTCATGGTTGGAATTAGGTCATAGGATCTAGGGGTGGCAATTTGTGTCCGGAGGTCATGTTGGCATAATGGTGTACTGCAAAAACAGGTCAATCCAAACACGACTAGATGACCTGCTTGACACAATCATGCTTGAAAATTAATGGGTTGACACTAAGCCGGTGTAACATTATTAAATAAAGGATTGATGGGTTGACACAATTGCATGACCCGGCATGACATGAAATTAACCCACCATCATGAACCAAACATACTCAAATTTTTCAAAAGATCTATTTACAAATTGTAATAACTGTCCACAAAATATCATCAAATAAAGTTAGAAAACATGTTCATGGTCAATGAAATATGATCAATTTAAAAATCTTAATGGTGAATAACATGAAAATAATAGTCTTTTAGCTAATCATGTCTAAACAATATACAAACAGATCGTGTAAACATTAAGCTGTTAATTTCAACGGGATTTGCGGGTCAATTTTGTGTCTGGTGGATTGGACACAAACTCTAACATGACAAAGATCATTCATAGTATCTTGTGGGTTGACATAACATCTTTTGAATACAATTAGCCTCATCTTAAATCTGTTAATTTCATATCGTGTTAGAAATTGCCACCCTAATAAGATCCAGAGCATATTACGGATATGACCAGTGTGGCATTTCTCTGAAACACAGCAACAAAAATGATTTCTGTTCTGTACAACTTCCATTAATCCACTGGCTCCATATCTTTTGCACTCAAAATAACGATACTTTCATATCGAACAGAGTGATGCAAGCTCTAGTGGATAGGCTCGTACCACTTCTTGTGGGGCAGCTGTTGCAAGATTATGAGCAATGGGTTCGTCAGCAACGTGAACATCTGTGATAAAGTTCATTTTCTTTTTTGGTTATGCGATTTCTAATTTTTTTAAAGATATAAGGACATTCTTGACCTTACCCTGTTAGACAATCTGGTTGTTGGCATTGGTATGGTTCGTGAAGACAGCCGATTCAATGTGAGGTATGTATACTGTGGTGGATCTCTTATCATGTTTAGGGTGGTCTCTGGTTCTTCGCCGTACTGATGAAATGAGAGCAATTAAAATCATGGGCTGATTTATTTGTTCTGTCACATTGAAACTTTTTTTTTGCCCGGTAAACCACAGAAATTCATTGACTGAACGCGAGTCAAGGTACATCATTCATAAGGAAACTGCAAACAAAGGAGTCTTTATGCAATAGATCTTTAATAGCGTCCGGAGCGTCATCAAACACAAAATCGTCGGTCAACCAAAGGAGTCTTTATGCAATAGATCTCTAATAACGTCCGGAGCGTCATCAAACACAAAATCCTTGGTCTTGATCCTTGCCTAGTCATGCCAAAGCATCTGTGCTTCCATTTGCTTTCGTTCCGCCCAGCAACTTCCTGCAATTATCAAGAATAAACCCCTTAATGTTACCTGCTCATCCGACAAACCTGAACTCTAATAGCATCAAAACCCAAGTGCCCAAAAATAACCCTTTCATAGATCATCGCTCGGAAGAGCCCCAAATAACACATAAGCAGCAAAAAACCAAGATCGTAATCCCACAAAGCCCCAAAATCCAAATGACCCACGAATAGCCCTCATCTTGAAATAAACTCTAAACGTAAAATAGTTTCTTAGTAAATTCCAAACGAGGCAAAAAAAAAAAAATTCAAAATTAGCATCAGATAACCCCCCATAAAACTCTCAAGCCGTTAATAAATTCTCAGCACTATATATCCCAAATAACTTATGATCTCTAGTACTCCATGATTAACCCTCAACTTCTAAAAACTCCTTAATCGAAAGTGGGCCCTTAATCAACACTCCACAAGCCCAATAAATCCTTAATTGAAAAAACTAAGGGTGCGTTTATTTTGCGGAAAATATACTATTTTGGAAAATACTTTTCAGGAAATCATTTTCTAGGAAAATGAGTTTATTTTCGGTGTTTGGCTCAAACCTGAAAAAGACTTGGAAAGTATTTTCAGTTGTTTGATAAGGGAAATCTGATGGTGAAAATTATCAAGAAAATTTATATGTTTTAAATTATTTCAAATTATTTGTTATTTTCACATTATTTTTATTAAGAAAAGAATATACATGAATGTTTTCCTTCTTAGAAATATAAGAAAAAGAAAAGAAGAGGAAAAAAAGAAAGAAAAGAAAATATAAAATATTAAAAATTCAATATGAGCAATTCCGGAAAGTGATTTCACCTTTTTAGATTAGGAAATTCACTTTTCTAAAATTAAACATGATATTTGTGTTGATCGGAAAGTATTTTCCGTTGACCAAATCATTTTCGGAGAACCAAACAGATGAAAGTCCGGAAAATACTTTCCGGGAAAAAACTTTCACCAAAACAAACACACCCTAAGAATATGACCTTGAAACCACGAATGTTATAAACAATTTAGCAAACCAATAATCCCAAATAACCCCGTTTACGGTAGTTAACCTAGCTATAAACCTTGAATAATACCACAATGACGGATCACACTAGAAGAAACCATTAAATAACCCTATTTAATATCTATTGTCGGTGGGGAATTGAATAGAAATCATTGTTGAAATTTTCCTTCAAATTAAGTTTGAAGTAGTAGTCTAGGGTGTTTTTGGTTTTGGAGTAGTGCATTGCTGCTCAAATAGGAAAATTATTCAAAAAGTTCTAAACCTATTGCAATTTTGTATAAATTATGGGCACGATATGAGCAAATTGGAACCATCTATGTAGATTTGAGATTTGAACTTTTTTAATAGGGTTGGTTATAAGATAGAAAATATTCAATATTTTAAAATTGAAATATGTGATTGATAAAATATAATAATTGATTGACGCAATTGCGCATTGATATTGATAGAATTTTTTTTTTATAAAATCGCTAATTGAGGGTATTTTGGAGGAGGCAAAAGGAATTGTGATTTCTTAAAAGAAAGAAGTTCTCAGTACTTTTAAGAAAAATGGCATCTTTCATTTATCCAACAATAATATGAGAAAGTGTTGTGTCGAAGATATTTAGAGAGAACTATAATTTCTTGCCTTCACTATGCGCTAGATAGTAGATGGATGGGAGTTGTGTTTAAGAGAAGAATAGATAAAGGTATCGAATTTCAAAGGTTAGGTATATGCTATACAAAATCAACGACATTTTAGTCATTTGATTTGGAAGAGTGTATACATCGAAAAGTTCACTTTTACTTGCCTATGATTTTTGTAAACGAAGAGAACCAGATAGACCGACTGTATTTGCCTTAGATAATCACCTCATTTGTAAATTGTTATCTATGTATATCTTGTGTACTCCTCATTATATTGAATATACGAAAGTCACACATTTTACTTCGTTTGCATATTTTTATCTCGCTGCATTTCCCATCATCTTTTTCCACTCGTAGTCTTTAGTTTAGGGGTGTTCCTACTTTTTTTTTTCCTTTAAATTAATTTGTAGTTATTAGTAAAGTTCTTAAGCTTTTAGTATATTCTCAGTATGATAAATAATTTTCGTATAATCAATTATTGTTGCATTGAAAATTACTAATTTTCTACGAAACTCGCTCGAACCTGCATGACATGTTTCTTGTTGCTTTTTATTTATTGAGAAAATGACACTACTTATCCCTAAACTTTACTTAACGTGTAATGTCATTCTTGAACTTTCAACTTGTGTAATTCGATCCTCAAAGTATTCCTAAATGTAGGGGTGAGCGGTTCCCAGTCCGATCCGATCCAACCCAAGAACTGGAAACCGGACTGGGAGGACCGGTTCCCAATTTCTAGGACCGGGGACCATACCAGCTAGTCTTGGGACTGTGGATCGGACAGGAACATCGGTCCGGTCCGGTTCTAATGAGACCAATCACTTATTGATAAATGCAAGATTGAGAATTGGAGTTCTAATTAAAGTGGTGGGAGAGGAACTCGATCCTGTGACAAATGCGACGATGGTAATGGGCTTTTGCATAGACGCGTTCAAGGCTGCAGCTGATATGTTGCCCTATGAAGTAAAATTTGACTTCATCCCCTTTACAAATTCAAACATATTGATGGCTGCAAGCTATTATGACGACCTGATATACCAAGTTTACTGTTAGGTGATCTTGAATGAACCCAGTATTCAGATTGTCTGTTTTTCAACTGTGTGCAACCATAAAATGACATGCTCTGCTTCCGTGCATGAACGACACTAGACAAATAGCACATCCAAGTACATAAACATCGGCCCGGTCCGGTTCCCACCCTAGAATTGGGAATCGGACCGCTCGGAAACCGGTTCCACTTTTAGGAACCGGGAACCGGATCAATATTCTCAAGAACAGGACCAAACCGGTCAGTCCGATCCGGTCTGGTCCGGTCCCGGTTTGGGTAGTCCATCTTGCTCACCCCTACCTAAATGTGCAATGTAGTCCTCAAATTTTTTTCATTTTTTCAATCTAGTCCCTCAATTTTCCATGATAAAGCAAATAATTCCTACGGTCATGTCCAGATTTTTCCTAATTGCATTATTAGTGACACGAAATAGAGAAGAAACAGAGAATTGAAAAACTTAAACTTCGACTCTAAAAATCGCAAGAAAAGACCGCGAAGTTGTTTATCTCCCTTGTCGGACCCTAAAAGTTGCTAAGTCCAATTTTTATTTTTTCGATAAACTTAAATTTGAACTCTAAAAATTGCAAAGTGCAGATTTTTAAGCTTATCGTTGTCCAAGCAAGACGCCACGACCAAACTTTGATTGGAAAGTATTTTTTAGTTACCGTACAAGTTTTGGGTTTTGATGATATAAAAATAATTTGGATTATTGGTATTACAGTGAAAATAAAGGATAGAATTTTTCAGAAACCGTCGCTCGCTGTCGTCGAATTGCCGCGCAGCCATTGCCATCATGAGCCCTCAACTTCGCACGTCAATCCGTCGGCGAGTTAGCGCCTCGCCCGACTCGAGTCATCTTCTACGCCTTCGTCTCCTTTTCTTTCCGTACAGAGCTTAAGACCTATGTCTATGGAAGTCGCGACCGACAAAGGTCACTAGCCTCACACAGCCACAGATCTGTGGTTGCATATGGCCGCGGTGTCGGGGCTCGCCTAAGTTAAATCGCTCGATTTTTTTAGGAACGGAGGGAGGCCCTCAGCCTTGTTTATCATTAAAATCAATACCAAAAAAAGGAAAAAAAAAACAAAAAAGGGAAACTCCCCGCCGTGAGGGCATCTGTGTAATTTGGCAGCAGCAAGAAGACAGAATGCAATTGATAGGGGAGAGAGGAGAGGAGCAGAGGAAAAGGATGGGGGTTTGTGATTATGGTGGACGGAGCGTGTGCTGTCAGCTGCTGTCGGTGGTCAAGTCACGTGAGGGATGATACAATGTATACTCAAGCAGGAGCCAATTAATAAGGGAAAATGCTAAATTAATCTGGGCTCATGTATATGATAGATGAAGTGGACCGATGCTCATGGAAAAATTCACCCGATATTTCGATGCATGAATTAGGTTCACATGCACTGATCATAGAAAGGAAGTTAGAAAGCTGTAAATCCAATCCATATGTCGAATTTGGCGGCCTCACTGGTATAGGCAACACCAGCCCTCGCTGGCCATCAGAGGAAAGAAAAAAATAAAAAATTCAAAAAATTAAAAATTATTAAAAATTACAACGTCAGCATTGACCGGACGGCCGTTGCCGGCCGACGTCCACGTCAGCACTAGCCGATCATATTTGATCGGATGGACTGAATTAGCACAATTGTAAAAGGTTTAGAACTGAATTGGACAAAAAAAAGTTTAGGACTGAATTGACACAATTAAATTCTTCTTCTAATGCTTACAGGTCACTAAGGACCTGCATGATAACTGGCCAAATAGTAACTAATTATATTCTTTTGTTTTCAGGAACATATTTGGAACAAAAATCTGTTTGGTAAATTTTTTATTCCCGAAAATAGAATTAAAAAAAATTGTTTCCAAGAATAGATTTGGAACAGAATCAATAATAAAAAAAAAGTTGATTCTTTCTTCTCGGGAACAACTCCAAAATCAATTTTTTTTCTTGTCTTCTCTTCTTCTTCTTCTTCTTCTATCCAGCCAGCCACCGGCCACCGCTGCTGCCGCC